CGCCGCATCGACGAGCGTCTTTGACAAGCTGCGAACCCTCTTCACGCGCGAGCCGAGCCCGCCCAAGCCAGAGGCAGTGTCGTCCAACTGGTGGTCGGCGTCGACGCAGTTTTTCCGACCCGCCATCGCCGAGAGCAAGCCGCAGGTGACGACGCCGCTTCCACCCGTCCTTGCGCCCGAGCTGCCGAAGCTGGCGTCCTCGCAGGTCATCTCGCGCGACCGCTTTGCGACCGACCGCCTCAGCGCATCGCACCATATCTTCATCCCGCGCATGGAGTACACAACGGCCAGCGACGTGCCGAGCGCGAAGGCGTCGCCCCCAGTGCCGGTCGCTGCGCCGGCGGCCGAGCCGCACTTTTTATTGCCTCGTCGTGGTACAAGGAGGCTGATCGCATGAGCGCGTCGTTCCAGCACACGCAGCCGAGCCTCAGTCGCACCGACGTCGACGGGTCGTTCATTTGGATTTAAGCGACGCTGTAGCGAATACTATTTAAGACGCTGTCGAAATGAACGACGCGAGATGAGCTACATAAATGTTCAAGCTACTACCCTCTGAACCTCCGAAAGCTTTGCCCCGTCGGGAATCGTTATGGGGATGGCCTGTCTCGGCACACCCTCTCGCACTACCCACAGACCGAGTCGACGATTGGAGGGTCGCCATGGTTCGAGACCCATCAAAGGCGAAGGGAGGGATGTGCCAAGCAGCAAGACTTTATCCGAGGGTGTCGGCCTCGGTGTAGGCTCGTCACTGGTTCACATGCCAGCCACATCTGTCTTGAAACGGCAGCTCGCAAATGCAACTTCAACCCGCCACGCCCTCATCTTAAATCTAAAGGGCTCCGTGATGGAATTCGCTCGTCTCTCATTCCAGCTTTTGCATTGCGACTGCGAGTGACCAAGCATGGACACAGTGACGCTGACGCTGAACGGCGTCGTGACCACCATGTCCCTCGACGCGTTCTCCAAGAAGCTCACGGCCAACGCGTGCGTCGGGACCTCGTGTGCGTCCGACGTGGCGTCGGCGGCCGCGCTCGACAACCTCTGGCTCGTCTTTGGCGGCGTCATGGTCTTCTTCATGCTCCTCGGCTTCGGTCTCCTCGAGATCGGCTGCTGCAGCGTCAAGAACACTAAGCACATTCTGTTCCGCAATCTTAGCGACCTCTGCCTCACGGGCCTTACGTTCTACGCCGTCGGGTACGCGTTCCTCTTTGGCGACGGCAACGACTTCATCGGCCACCGCGGCTTCTTCCTCCAAGGCGACACCTTCCACACCGACGCGCCGGCGTCGTACAAAGGGCTCGAGTACGGCAACTGGTTCTTCCAGTGGGCGATCGCCGCCGTCGCCGTCACCATCTTCTCGGGGGCTGTCGCCGAGCGCATCACTTTCGGCGCCTACCTCCTCTACACGCTCTGCGTGAGCGCCGTCATCTACCCGGTTGCGGGCCACTGGATCTGGTCGACCACGGGGTGGGCGAGCGTGCTCCGAGCCCCGGACGACCGTCTCTTCGAGGTCGGGACCATCGACTTTGCCGGCTGCGGCTGCATCCACATGCTCGGCGGCATCTCGGCGCTTATCGGGTGCATCTTTCTCGGGCCGCGCAAAGGCCGCTTCCACAGCGACGGCACGCACGCCGAGCTGCCGAAGCAGTCGGTCTTGTACCAGAGCATGGGCACGCTCATTCTCTGGTTTGGCTGGTACGGCTTCAACTGCGTCTCGACGCTCTCGCTCCGCGGGGACTTGAGCCACGTCATGACCAAGGTCGCGGTCAACCTCACGCTCGGCGCGTGCATGGGCGGCGTCTGCACCGTCCTCCTCGATCGCCTAATTGGCTCCAAGACGTGGGACGTGTGCATGGCCAACAACGGGATCCTCGCCGGCTGCGTCTCGGTCACGGGCAGCTGCTCCGTGATCGAGCCCGAAGGCGCGGTCGCGCTCGGCGCCATCGCATCCCTCGTCTACGTAGGCGTCGCCAAGCTCGTGCTGCGCTGCAAGATCGACGACGTTGTGGACGCGGTTCCTGTGCACTTTGGCTGCGGCACGCTCGGCGCCCTCGCCCCCGGCTTCTTCGCGTCGGGCAAGGGCGTGGCCATGGCCGTCGGGTCGGGTTCGTGCGGCGTCCTGTACCGCTGCAACGGCCACGAGGGCCACCAGCTCGCGGCGCAGGTCGTGTACGTGCTTGCGATTTTTCGCGTGGGTCGCCGGCTTCTGCACCCTCCTCTTCGGCCTCCTCTCCAAGCTCGGCCTCCTCCGCGTATCGGCCGACGCCGAGGCGATGGGGCTCGACGCGTTCGAGCACGGCGGGGCCGCGTCGACGCTCGAACCTGCGCCGACCCCCCGCGTCCTCGACGCCGGCATGCGCAAGACGTCGCTCGACAGCGACGCGCCGACGACGAGCTGAGCGCCAACTTGATACTTACTTGATACAAAACACAGTAATAATGCATGCATGTTGTTGTTGGCACCTGACATTACGTGCGATCCTTCCACCACTGCGCGAACGAGACGCGGTTCCACGGGAAGAGCGACGAGTGGTCGCGCGCGTCGTCGTCGTCGGCGCCCTCGAGGTCCGTGCCGTCTTCCTCCTCTTCCTCGTCGTCGTCCTCGTCCTCGTACGAATGGTCATTGGCCGCGACGCTATCGTACCAGATCTTCTCCTCGTGCAGGAGCTTCGAGTAGCTCGTGAACGTCTCCTCGCCGAGGTACTGCCGCGGATTGCTCTCGACCAGGCGCAGCAGCCGCGCGAAATGCGGCTAGAAACCATCACGTTGGCTAAAACAACGCAAGTGTCGCACCTGGATCTCTTGCAGCGGCACGTGCAGCGCAAAAGACAGCTGCGCGTAGACGGTAAACTCGGCCGTGAGCACGTCGCGGGACGGCAGCGAGTGCACGTGGTCGATCTCGACGAGGAGCTTCTTGATGACATCGACAATCCCGTCGCGGTTCTAGAAAGCCAATGGAGACAACAGTTGTCGGTACTTTACGTACGAGTGGCTCGTTGAACTTGAGCGCGAGGATGAGACACGCCGACATGTAGAGCTTGCGGTTGGCTTTGTGGACAAACTATCCACTCTCGATACGATCCAGGATACTCATCTTGGATACACGTACGTTGCTGAGCACGAGCTTCTCAAAGTAGACGCACGCGAGCGCGATGGTCGAGATGTCGAGGTACGTCCGGCTGCCCATCGCGAGTGCCTCCTGCTTGAGGTTGCGGATTTTGCTGAGCGTGAGCTCCGAGTCGTCGAGCCACAGATGCGTTTCCCGAAATTGTTTGTTCAATTCCTACAATTCTCGTTAGCACTTCTTTTCAAACGTGCAGAACCTCTTTGAGATCGTTGGGCTTGACGAAGCGGAGGATGCTGCTCACGACTGGGCCCACCTTGCGGTCGCCGCGGATCACGTCCTTGTGCCGGCCCTGGCGGTACCTACGACACTTGAAAGATTGATATTTACACACAGAGCACTGTACTCGGGGTTGTCGAGAAAGTTGGGGTCGTACAGAGGCGCGATCGGGTGGCTGTCTTGACTGTCGCGGTCCTTATCGCAGCGCGACCATGTCGAGTGGAGGAGCCGGAAGTACGACTTGCCGCGCCAGTCGTACGGCTCGGTGCTGATCATGATCGACTGCAGTCGCTTGCGCCCGCCGGCGCGCGTGACCTTCTCCGTGCCGTTGTACTAGACGCACACGTATCTGTAGCATTCCTCCTTCGACGGAGCGTCCTCCTCTACCTTGATGACGGACGAGACGCCGACGGGGTAGCCCTTCCCGCTCGAGAGAAAGATGCGACCGTCAATGACGCCTTTCTCTGTCATCGTCGCCTCCCACCGGCGAACGACCGCGGACGCTGCCGGGTACTTGGTCGTGAGGCGATACCTAGCGACACGGCAGAAATCGACGCGAGACCGTGGACGCATGGGCAGTACCGGAAGAGCGGCAAGACGTTGACGACGGTCGAGTCGGGTCCTGGCAGCCGCCGTCCCGCGAGCGACTGCTCGACTTCATCGAGCTCGAGCGGGTACTCTTGCGACTGCGCGTCGTGGTCGGGCGACGAGAGCGGTCCGAGCTTGCGCGAGTGCTCCGAGAGGTGGCTGCACTCGGAGAGCATTGGGATGTTCTGGAGAAAGTCCAGCGCCGCAATGTCCCGTGTCACCTTGCGTATTCGCCCATTCG